ATAATCACAGGACACCGTGCTAGAGAATTACAGGGCACCGTGCTAGAGAATTACAGGGTACCGTGCTATAGAACTACAGGACACCGTGCTAGATAATCACAGGACACCGTGCTAGAGAACTACAGGACACCGTGCTATAGAACTACAGGGCACCGTGCTATAGAACTACAGGACACCGTGCTATAAAATTACAGGACACCGTGCTATAGAATTACAAGACACCGTGCTATAGAACTACAGGACACCGCGCTATAGAACTACATGACACCGTGCTATAGAACTACAGGACACCGCACTATAGAATTACATGACACCGCGCTATAGAATTACAGGACACCGCGCTATAGAATTACAAGACACCGTGCTATAGAACTACAGGACACCGCACTATAGAATTACATGACACCGCGCTATAGAATTACGTGACACCGTGCTATAGAACAACAGGACACCGTGCTATATAACTACAGGACACCGCGCTATAGAATTACATGACACCGTGCTATAGAATTACAGGACATCGTGCTATAGAATCACAGGAAACCGTGCTATATAATTACAGGACATCGTGCTATATAATCACAGGACACCGTGTTATGGAATCACAGGACACCGTGCTACATAATTGCAGGACATCGCGCTATATAATCACAGGACACCGTGCTATATTATCACAGGACACCGTGCTATATAATTACAGGACACCGTGCTGTATAATCACAGGACACCGTGCTATATATTTACAGGACACCGTGCTATATAATTACAGGACACCGTGCTGTATAGTCACAGGACACCGTGCTATAGAATTACAGGACACCGTGCTGTATAATCACAGGACACCGTGCTATATATTTACAGGAAACCGTGCTAGAGAATTACAGGACACCGTGCTATAGAATTACAGGACACCGTTCTATAGAACTACAGGACACCGTGCTTTATAATTACAGGACACCGTGCTAGAGAATTACAGGACACCGTGCTATATAATTATAGGACAACGTGCTAGAAAATCAAAGGACACCGTTCTATAGAACTACAGGACACCGTGCTATATAATCACAGGACACCGTGCTATATAATCACAGGACACCATGCTATATAATTACAGGACACCGTGCTGTATAATCACAGGACACCGTGCTATATATTTACAGGACACCGTGCTAGAGAATCACAGGACATAGTGCTAGAGAATTACAGGACACCGTGCTATATAATTACAAGACACCGTGCTATAGAATTACATGACACCGTGCTATATATTTACATGACACCGTGCTATAGAATTACAGGACACCGTGCTATATAATCACAGGACACCGTGCTAGATAATCACAGGACACCGTGCTATAGAACTACAGGACACCGTGCTATAGAATTACAGGACACCGTTCTATAGAACTACAGGACACCGTCCTATATAATCACAGGACACCGTGCTATATAATTACAGGACACCGTGCTATAGAATTACATGACAACGTGCTATAGAATTACAGGACACCGTGCTATAGAACTACAGGACACCGTGCTATAGAATTACAGGACACCGTGCTATAGAACTACAGGACACCGTGCTATAGAATTACAGGACACCGTGCTATAGAACTACAGGACACCGTGCTATAGAATTACAGGACACCGTGCTATAGAACTACAGGACACCGTGCTATAGAATTACAGGACACCGTGCTATAGAACTACAGGACACCGTGCTATAGAATTACAGGACACCGTGCTATAGAACTACAGGACACCGTGCTATAGAATTACAGGACACCGTGCTATAGAACTACAGGACACCGTGCTATAGAATTACAGGACACCGTGCTATAGAACTACAGGACACCGTGCTAGAGAATTACAGGACACCGTGCTATATAATTATAGGACAACGTGCTAGAAAATCAAAGGACACTGGCTAGAGAATCACCATTGGACAAGGGACAAAGAATCGCCATAGGTTACTAGTATACGATACAGAATCATCATAGGACAAAAAAAATAGGAATTACCACAGGACACAGTGTTTCAGAACCATCATTGGAGTCGTCATAGGTCACGGGAGTAAGGACTCAGGTCACGGCAGTACGAGATTACAGGCCTGGATATATATGTAGATATTATCAGAGTCACTGACATTTCACCATTAATTCAGCACGTTTGAGTAGCTGAATCGGATAAATATTTATGAACATCAATCATGTATATATGCTTTAATTAATTACTGCCGGTCGATAATTTACCGTCGTTAAAGCCCCCTCCCCTGCGGTTTACTGAGTGTATATAAACATTTTGGTGTGTAATTGTTCATGGGTATCGTTTGACTGAGTGGATGTATTGTTTCACATTCCTTCTCACTTTTGAAAGAATATTCTACTCTGTATGTATCTATACAAGATTTTACATCTCTGGGGTAATGCTAGAATAATCTACTGGAAAAACAATATTTTCACTTTCATATTAATAGCAATAGTTTTAATTTTTGGATGTCTTAAAATAACAAATGACAATAAATAACGTTATGCAATTATAACTTATTATTATTATTTCATATTATTCCCGACAAGTGATTGGTCAGGAGTGCATCACGTGTCCACCGATAAAAACCGATATTGACTTGAAGCGCGTGCTTTTTGTTGAAGGACTGGGTGTTTCTAAAAATAGTATTATGACGTGTCTCCAAACAATGCATCGTCCCACTTCCGAAGCTTTTTTGTTGTGTTTTTTTTTCAGATTGCTTACATTACTGTTTTGTAAAATAATAAAACAATTGTAGCCTTTAACTTCGGTTAATACCTGGTTTTATAGACCCGAGAAAAGAAATATTGACCTCGGACTGCGTCCTCGGTTAATACATCTTTTCTCGGTTTGATAAATCCAGGTATCGACCTCAGCCAAAGGCTATAATTGAATAATAACAGATACACGGTTTAGCAATATACGTGTGACTCAAATAATAAGAAAACCAAGACGTTTATCATTTTCATTGAAATTTATATAGATCAACAATAAGGAAAATAACATCAAGAAAAAATTGGCAAATATTTTGAATGTGACCCGATAAAGAGACTCAGTCTGTGAGATTTGCTTTACCTGAGGTGTTTAAAGGTGCCTGGAACTCTCGGGATATTGCATTGGTGAAGCTGGACATGTAGGTGTTAGGGAGGTTGGGTCTATTGGGGTAGCGGGAGGCTGGGCCTGTAGTGGTTTAGGAAGACTGGGATTGTGGGGGTTTAGGGAGGCTGGGACTGTTTGGGTTTAAGGAGACTGGACCTATAGAGGATTACTGAGGCTGGGTCTGTAGAGGTTTAAGGAGGCATGGTCTGTAGGAGTTTAAGGAGGCCTTGTCTGCAGAGGTTTAAACCTGTATATAGAGGATTAAGGAGGCCGGACCTGTAGGGGTTTAAAGAGGCTGGACATATAGAGCGTTAAGGAGGCTGGGTCTGTAGAGGTTTAAGCCTGTAGGGGATTAAGGAGGCTGGACCTGTAGGGGTTAAGGAGGCTGGACATATAGAGCGTTACAGAGGCTGGGTCTGTAGAGGTTTAAGGAGGATGGACATGTAGGGGTTTAAGGAGGCATAGTCTGTAAAGGTTTAAGGAGGCTGGGCCTTTTTTGGACTTAAAGAGGCTGGACCTGTAGGGGTTTAAGATGTCTGGAACTGTAGGGTTGTAAGGAGGCTGGACCTATAGAGCGTTAAGGAGGCTGGGTCTGTAGAGATTTAAGGAGGCATGGTCTGTAGGGGATTTAGGAGGCTGGAACTGTAGGGGATTAAGAAGGCTGGACCTATAGAGTGTTAAAGAGGCTGGGTCTGTAGAGGTTTACAGAGGCTGGACCTTTTTTGGTTTAAAGAGGCTGGACATGTAGGGGTTTAAGTTGGCAGGACCTGTAGGGGTTTAAGTTGGCAGGACCTGAAGGGGTTTAAGGAGGCATGGTCTGTAGAGGTTTAAAGAGGCTGGACCTGTAGGGGTTTAGGGAGGCTGGACCTGTAGAGGTTTAGGGAGGCTGGACCTGTAGGGGTTTATGGAGGCTGGTCCTGTTTGGGTTTAAGGGACTCGACTGATGTGGGTATACGTATATATATCGTGAACATGATTCTGAGGGGTTTATCAAGCTGACGAATGTTGAGTGAAATAACTGCACTGCAAATAGTTTACTGCTTGTGATGTTTTGAGTTATAAAACCCGAAGTCTTACTCTAACCAGCATCTGTTCTGCAAAATCTGTCGATTCCTATTTCCTCTCAAATATCATGTACAACGTTTAAAACCGTATAAAAGGTCCCTGGGAAACATTATTAAATAAGGCTGCGTCTGTTTAAAGATTGAGTGACACTGTGATTAATCGTACAATGAAAATAACTATATTATCGAGACAGAGATGTATGCATCGAATTCCATGCAGTACGGCTTTTTCCTTCGAGATGCCTTTTCAACTATTTCTGACATTTCATGTATATATTTTTTCTCTGTGTTGCCTTTTTTCGTTATATTTGAACGCCTTGTCAAGCAAAATGCAAATAGGTCCACTGTACATATGCGTATAATATACCCATATCAACTCTACCTATTAATAGAAACTTTAACATTGTCTTTTACGTTCGTTAGTATTTTCCCGTCGATCCTAGATTTATTGCGATGTGAAAGGCCGTATTGTGTGCAGTATGTACTTATGTCCAACGTATCGGCAAAAAAACTATTGTGTGAAACAATGATCAAGGCGTCTGTGTGACGAAGTACAGTCGTTTCTAGCCACCGACATTATTTTTCCGTAGCAATTACACGGAATTTATACTCTAAAAAGAGGTCACCCTGGGTACGGAAGGAGCTTTGAATAATTATTCTTCCGCCAATTAACCAGTATCTATAATTGATGTTCCATAATACCAAGCGGCATTTGATATCTGAATGGTCTTCGAGATTACATCTCGCACATTATACGACCTTTTGGGTACTACGTGCCAACTGCGTGCGCAATCTTTGGATTTGGAGGGGAGGAGTATAAGTGCTGTATTCGCCCAACTTCGCCCACAGTCTCAGCATACAACACGAGAATGCAGAGCTGACTTCACGAAATACCGCATTACGGTTTCAAAGCAGTAAGTACAAGTTTTATTCTCATAGTTTATGTTCTTATGTGATAAAATACATATTTTCAACAGAAATACCGAGAAAAGTTATTTTAATGTTTTTTTTAAAAAAAAGCAAGAAACAAACAACATAGAATAGTATTTCGTATTAAGTTCGATTGATTGAACTTTTAATTTCAGTATAATGTTTTCATTTCTTTTAAGAAATGCTCTCTTTTTTTTCTTTCCAAAATGGATTGTTTAATTAGTTTTTTTCTTTTAAAAAGAGGAAAATGACATGTTGCATATGTGAGGCACAACTATTAAAACAACAAATGTTGGAATAAAAGTGATAAAAGACTCAAAATGAGTTTGGCTCGTGAAGAGTTATTTTTTCGTTTCCGCTGTTTTTTTGACAATGATTCGTATTTGAAAAGAAATAGCATTTGAGTTGTTTGTCATATATCACAAAGGTTCTGAGACTTATGGTTGTGTCATTTATATTGACTGTTCCTGTCGAAGAATAGGTAAAATCCGGTGAACTCTTTTATTTGAAAGTAGATCTGTCTTATAGAACGCAAAACACCGGTAGCCCTAGATAATCCACAGGGATTGGATAATGAAGGATGGAAAACGGAACAATTGTAAATTTATTTGGTTTATGTACGTGTAAACGTTTTCAATCGTGTTATTTTTTTATAATCTTAATCATAATATGTTTTCTTACACTCAGTTAAATAGTCGTCTCTGTTTTCTCCGTTTAGTCTCTGGATTTGAATATGTCTCGTGAAAGTTTGCGGACCTATTGTTAGCTGTTTTGCTGTATTCAAATGTCTTTTTTATTCTAAATTATGATATCTACGAATTGATACCGATGAAGACAAACAACACATAGGTATTTTTGTTTGTTTTGAAAAGAGAATTATTCTCGCTGTACAGTCTTACATAAAATCTACCAAAAGGTTTGAAACAATTTAGTGGACAGCCAATGTAACCAGAACACCTCTATACTGATCCCCCTTTTTACCACTTCCCTCACTCCCTTTCCTGTCTCTTTCTGTTTTACATATCAATTATCAAGTACATAATATATGTTTATTTTTTAGTTATAACGTGATATTTGTACTTGTTGTATATCGTATTGTTGGGAGAGGGCCTAGTAAGTTGGAAGAACTTGTGCCCAATCCATTTGTCAATAAATTGTGTTTAAATGAAGAGAATGCGCACGTAGCGAAGAGTTTTCAAAATCCTCATATTCGAAATCTAAGGGTTCTCCGCATTCGGTTTTGTAGCAGCACCTTTGGAATATGGCATGAACAAATCGAAGACTCACATGCGCGCCACCTTGCGGATGATATGAGTTGACTATTTTGGAAATTGTTCAAGAATCCTACATACCTATGATACCTTTTTGATGCAAATTAGAAGGAATCGCTCGGCAGTGTAACGGTAAAATTGACAGGCTTTAATTTGGTTGTAGCTTACCTGTTATCTTATTAAGACAGGTACAATGTATCAACCTGGCGATTGGTGTTTTTTTTTATTATTATTTCTGGTTCTTACAAATGTAGTAAATGACAATGACCTTACGATTTTGTCAGGTCGTATTTGAAGAGTTTACTTTATTTGAGATTTCGAAGATGAACAACCACAGCTGTAAGGTAACTCTACCTAGAAAATTAAACTTGTGATCGCATTAAGTACTTTAACAGTAAGAGCATACAATGACTTTTATCTTCGCGTAAGCTAAACGCAACTAGAAAAATGGCAAAATAACCAGAAATAGAGTCATAAAAAGCTCAAGATGCGTTTCACTGGCATCAGCTGTAGGCTTGATTCCTCACACATCTGCAGAGCAACACTTGATGGGACGTTTTTATCGTCCATAAATGTCGGAGTTATCTTTCTTTGCTTGCTAAAAGTGAAACAAATGAACTATAACGTTGACATTTTCATCATCACGTGAATTTGTTTTTTTTCCGAGTACCATGCTTTTTCAAATCGCACAGGTCTCTCATAATGAATTTTCTCAATTCATACTTCATACACACACTATTTCTGGGTTGTCATAGAAAAATAGGTTAAAAAATCAATAAATCGATAATTGATGAATTAAAAAAAAAATACAACTGTATGGTAATACATGCAACAGTCTTGGTTCGAGATCACCAGAATCGATCTTGCTATAAATACATTTGTGGAATGTATCATCCGCACTTTTTATTTAATCTCTTTAACTCAAGTAAATAAGTTATGCGATTGAATTCTCATTTCATTTTCCGAAGGTTCCATGGCTATGGAGGGTTCCGCAAGCATATTTAGAGAGATTTTTTTAATTTTAATCACGTGACGCCGATTTCTCGACGTCCCCTCATCACTTAGCTTTCTGACAAATACATTTCAAATCTCTCTCAAACCCGGACAAGTTATACGCTGTTACACATTTGATGACAACGGGTTTATTTCAGACAATGAATCAATCGATGGTGCTTTTATGTGGCCTGCTGGGCCTGCTGGTGGGCGGGGCCTTTGCAGTTGAAGTACCGTTTACCCCGGCCCTGAGGGAGTACATCGTGGAAATGCACAATGCAATGAGAGAGAAACAGCACGGAGCCAATATGAACGAATTAGTAGGTGTTTATATAAATAACTTACTTTTAGTCACTTTAAGTTATAATCTAACTGCTAAAATCCATATTAGCACATTTCAGCAGTGAACACAACTTCATGATAACTTGAAAACTTATGCTTAGATAATAATCTATTGTTGTGGACTTCATTAAAGATATATTAAAAAAGACAACCTTTAAACAAATAATGATTCACGATACGTTCCATATTAATGAAATATGTTTCGTGTTATATGCCATACGTCATATTAGTGCACAATATGTAAATGTTTTGTGGGGTTTCGTGGTAAACTACTTGTATGCATGGTTATTTTTGCAAATATCACCTTAAATATAAAGACGTGCATTCAGGACGAAGGTTACAAACTGTTGGTAACAGATCTAGAGAAAAGTTTAGCACTACGTGGATTTCTACTTTCTAAATCAATGCGAAAATAAAATAGCAATGCACTAAGCAATTCTTCTTACCACTTACCCTATATGTAAGTATTTACCTGTATATAGCTACTTACTTGTATCAGTACTTACCTGTATTGTTAATTATCTTTAAAAAACACTTAATTGTATAATTGCTTTTTTACCTCAGTAGCAACCTACCAGTCAAACTTACAGTTTTTACCGTAAACACATTGTACATGAAACCATACACGTTTACACGTATTACTAATTCCCTGATATTTTTATGGAAATTGTCTCTAAATAACCATGCATTTTTATTTGTATGACTACTTACCTGTCAGTTTTACATTTTTATTTGTATAACTACTTACCTGTCAGTTTTTTCATTTTTATTTGTATAAATACTTACCTGTCAGTTTGATTGTCTTCGACTGTTAATAGTAAAACATGTTAACAATTACTAGAAACATAAAGTAAGGTAGAAACTATTTCAAAAATCAGTTTGTTGATTTACTGCAACATACGGAAGTTCACTGTAACATACGAACGTTTACTTCAACATACGGACCTTAACTGCAACATACGGACCTTAACTGCAGCATACGTTTACTGCAAAATACGGACGTTTTGTCCATTCGTGACTCATCAGTAAAAAGAAGGAAATTCCGCGCCAAAAACATAACTTCTTTTTTTACACTTAATTTATTCGACTGACTGTTTAACTATCCTAAAGTTTTATCTGTATAATCTCTTACCCGTCAATTTGATGGTTTATCTGGCTGTTTACAAATTTACCTCTATAACCACTTTTCTGTCAGTTTGGTGATGTTTGACTATATTATTATCAACAGGAATGGGATGACACGCTGGCCCAGGAGGCCCTCGACTGGATCTCGTCGTGTACCTTTGAGCACCAGATGAAAGGCCGCGGAGAGAACCTGGCTTTTAACACTGACGAAGAGAGTAATGAAGAGCTCATTAAAAAATCAATGGAAGACTGGTACAGTGAGATTCAGTACTTCCGGTACGGCAACAAATCCTGCTCACAGGACTGTCACTTTTCACAGGTAGGGACCAACAAATCCTGCTCAAAGGACTGTCGCTTTTCAAAGTTCGGGACTAAAATGTCCTGCTCAAAGGACTGTCACTTTTTGCAGGTAGACACTACCACATCCTGCTCAACGATATTGAATTATCACAGGCAGGGACCAACAAATCCTGCTCAAAAGACTGTCACTACTCACATATAGGGGCGAAAATGTCCTGTTTAAAGGACTGTCACTTCTCGCAGGTAGACACTGACACATCCTGCTGAACGATATTCAATTATCACAGGTAGGGATCAATAAATCCTGCTTAAAGGACTGTCACTTCTCACAGGTAGACACCAACAAATCCTGCTCAAAGGAATGCAATTATCACAAGTAGGGACCAACAGATCCTGCTCAAAGGACTGTCGCTTTTCAAAGTTCGGGACCAAAATGTCCTGCTCAAAGGACTGTCACTTTTTGAAGGTAGACACTACCACATCCTGCTCAACGATATTCAATTATCACAGGCAGGGACCAATAAATCCTGCTCAAAGGACTGTCACTTCTCACAGGTAGACACCAACAAATCCTGCTTAAAGGAATTCAATTATCACAGGTAGGGACCAACTTTTCCTGCTCAAGGGACTGTCGCTTCTCGCAGGTAGACACCAACAAATCCTGCTCAAAGGAATTCAATTATCACAGGTAGGGACCAACTTTTCCTGCCCAAGGGACTGTCGCTTCCCACAGGTAAGGATCAACAAGACCTGCTCAATTGACTGTCACTTCTCACAAGTGTCTTCGGTTTCATTGACGAAAACTGCCATTGAAATCACGGTCAAATCCTAGTAATATCACGTCCTTACTATGTTACACACATAGATACATATATATCCAATGACTACAGCCAATGGCAATTCATACTTTGATATTCCTTTGTTGTAGCTGTAGGACAGATAGGTACTTAATATTGAGGGTCCTTTCATTGTAAGCACACTGTGTCATACTGTTATATTGCAATGTAAGTATAGTACATTGTGTTTGTGTAATTTGTTTTCAGCTGATTTGGGCAGACACGCAGAAAGTAGGATGTGCCATGGTCCGTTGTCCCGCCTTTCACGTCCCGTGGGATCCAACTTCCACCATCCCTAATGCCTGGTATATCGGCTGCTTCTATGACCCAAAGTAAGTTCATTGATTTCAGGTCGTGTAAGAAACAATTCGAAGACGTCCGGTGTCGTTTCCAATATGCATTGGTTTGTGATATCATCCCTTTTGGTTAAGTGTTTCTTTGGTTCCTGTTGTACTGTATACCGGAAAATTTTCGCCGCAGTTTGATAAACGTCTTTTGATTTGCCCTCCATAATGAGAACTAATATATCCGGACGATGAAAATAAGTACACACCATACTAAACATAGTAATAACATGTGAAGGGCTAAAATAACATTTTAACAATTAGACTGGACAAAAGCTTCTCGTATACAGTATTTCCATTTGTTTGGTGTTTCCTCGGCTACTGATGTCATTACTTTTGTGTGGTGTTTCCTCGGCTCCTGATGTCATTGCTTTTGTTTGATGTTTCCTCGGCTCCCGATATCACTTCATTTGTTTTGTGTTTTCTTAGCTCCTGATGTCATTACTTGTGTGTGGTGTTTCCTCGGCTACTGATCTCATTACTTTTGTGTGGTGTTGCCTCGGCTCCTGATGTCATTACTTTTGTTTGGTGTTTCCTTGGCTCCTGATGTCATTACTTTTGTTTGGTGTTTCCTCAGTTCCTGATATCATTACTTTTGTTTGGTGTTTCCTTGGCTACTGATGCCATTACTTTTGTTTGGTGTTTCCTCAGCTTCTGATGTCATTCCATTTGTTTTGTGTTTCCTTGGCTCCTGACATCATAACTTTTGTTTGGTGTTTCCTCAGCTCCTGACATCATAACTTTTGTTTGGTGTTTCCTCGGCTGCTTGAGTCATTACTTTTGTTTGGTGTTTCCTCGGCTTCTGATGTCATTACTTTTGTGTGGTGTTTCCTCGGCTCCTGATGTCATTACTTTTGTTTGGTGTTTTCTCAGCTCCTGATGTCATTACTTTTGTTTGGTGTTTCCTCAGTTCCTGATATCATTACTTTTGTTGGGTGTTTTCTCGGCTACTGATGCCATTACTTTTGTTTGATGTTTCCTCAGCTTCTGATGTCATTCCATTTGTTTTGTGTTTCCTTGGCTCCTGATATCATTACTTTTGTTTGGTGTTTCCTTGGCTGCTGATGTCATTACTTTTGTTTGGTGTTTCCTTGGCTCCCGATATTATTCCATTTGTTTGGTGTTTCCTTGGCTCCTGATGTCATTTCTTTTGTTTGGTGTTTCCTCAGATCCCAATATCATAACTTTTGATTGGTGTTTCCTCGAGTCCTGATGTCATTACTTTATTGTTTGGTGTTTCCTCAGCTCCTGATGTCATTACTTGTGTGTGGTGTTTCCTCGGCTCCTGATGTCATTACTTTTATTTGGTGTTTCCACGGCTCCTGATGTCATTACTTTTGTTTGGTGTTTCCTAGGTTCCTGATGTCATTACTTTATTGTTGTGTTTCCTCAGCTTCTGATGTAATTTCTTTTGTTTGGTGTTTCCTCGAATCCTGATATCATTACTTGTGTTTGGTGTTTCCTCGGCTCCTGATGTCATTACGTTTGTTTGGTGTTTCCTCGGCTCCTGATGTCATTGCTTTTGTTTGATGTTTCCTCGGCTCCCGATATCACTTCATTTGTTTTGTGTTTTCTTAGCTCCTGATGTCATTACTTGTGTGTGGTGTTTCCTCGGCTCCTGATGTCATTACTTTTATTTTGTGTTTCCTCGGCTCCGATATCGTTTCATTTGTTTTGTGTTTTCTTAGCTCCTGATGTCATTACTTTTGTTTGGTGTTTCCTCGGCTCCTGATGTCATTGCTTTTGTTTGATGTTTCCTCGGCTCCCGGTGTAATTTCTTTTGTTTGGTGTTTCCTCGGTTCCTGATGTCATTATTTTATTATTTGGTGTTTCCTCAGCTTCTGATGTAATTTCTTTTGTTTGGTGTTTCCTCGAATCCTGATATCATTACTTGTGTTTGGTGTTTCCTCGGCTCCCGATATCATTTCATTTGTTTTGTGTTTTCTTAGCTCCTGATGTCATTACTTGTGTGTGGTGTTTCCTCGGCTCCTGTTGTCATTACTTTTATTTGGTGTTTCCTCGGCTCCTGATGTCATTACTTTTGTTTGGGTTTTCCTCGGCTCCTGATGTCATTGCTTTTGTTTGGTGTTTCCTCGGCTCCCGATATCATTTCATTTGTTTTGTGTTTTCTTAGCTCCTGATGTCATTACTTGTGTGTGGTGTTTCCTCGGCTCCTTATGTCATTACATTTGTTTAATGTTTCCTCGGCTACTGATATTATTACATTTGTTTTTTGTGTTTCCTTGGCTCCTGCTGTTATTACTTTTGTTTGGTGTTTCCTCGGCTGCTGATGTCATTACTTTTGTTTGGTGTTTCCTCGGATCCTGATTTCATTACTTTTATTTGGTGTTTTCTCGGCTCCTGAAGTCATTACTTTTGTTTAGTGTTATCTCAGCTCCTGATATCATTACGTTTATTTGGTGTTTCCTCGGCTGCTGATGTCATTACTTTTGTTTAGTGTTTCCTTGCCTCCTGATGTCATTACTTTTTCAAATAATTGATATCGGGTGAGATGCATCACTTGTACTTTGATTTGAGTTATGTTTGTACACTTCCAGAGGAAATGATTACGGGACATTCCCCTGGCTAAGAGGAAAGCCTTGTTCCTCTTGTCTGAAGGGCCAAACCTGCTCACTTCATGGTCTTTGTCACGGTAAGTCTTCTTGATATTAATTAAGGTTTAAAATGCATCTTTTAAACATTGATGATTGTACGAAACTCAGTTCTGTTAAACCTCTTCAGTGATGTGCGGTAGCGCATCTTGGTGAATATGTTTGAACGGAACTGTGTTTCATACCTTCATAAATGTTAAAAAGATCCATTTCAAACTTTATCTTTTCGTTAAAAATAGCGAAGATAATATATGTGTATCGTTCTTTGTAGTCCTATTCGGTATAAACTAGATAACAAACAAACTATTTGACTAATTGGCGGAATAGCCGTTTTTACGGAAACAAGATCTTACTTCCTATGATTGGCGATTCCGTCGTCAAACGGAACACTCGGGAATTTCCGTCAAAATTTTAATTTAAGATCATGTCATGATTGGTCACCGATTACTCAAACTGCAGACTGATGGAAAAATCCGAACCGGTCTGGAACTATTCACGTGTCAAAGTTCTTGCTGTTAATGGATTGTTGGTAGGTTTATTTAAGAACTGTACAGTGAAAATATAAATAAAAATAATTCGAGGTTCTTATATACCGCTTACGGGGAGCATAAAGCCGGTGTTACATGTACCATGTAGGCGCTAACATCTAGCAATCAACAATTCCAGCACTTCCCAACCACTAACTCATTTACAGCTGAGTAGACTGGAACAAGTTGAGTAAAGTATCTTGTTCAAAGATACAACATATAGTGCCGTGACGTGACTCGAACCGCAACCCTTCGGTCACGAGCCCGGCCCCCTTCTTCTAGTCTACCGTGCCTCCTAAAAATGTATTCACCAATTAATGCATATCTCTCTTCTATAAAAAAAAATAAGAATACTTGTTAAAGGTACGCAGAATTTTATCCTGTATCAGAAGGCGTCATATCTAGATTGAACGCTACATCATTGTTTACATTTTGATCCTGTATCACAACACCTTATATTAGAAGGCGTCATATCTAGATTAAAAGCTACGTCTTTGTTTACATTTTTTCCTGTAGGGGAAGGCGTCATTCCTTGTACAAACATTGAGTCCAGAGAGCATTGTAGTTTCTGGTATGAGGAGGGAGAATGCGACAGTAACCCGAAGTTTATGCACAAATTCTGCAGGAAGGGATGCAAACTCTGCACCCGTAAGTCTGGATAGTTTAAATGTCACAATGAAAGAGTCCCTATTATAAGTCAACTTTTAGTTGCGAGCTATCGGATGTATTCTCCATGTTATGTCAATTTTCCAATATTTTCGTGATTAGATTTTCAATGTGTATAATTGATGTTACAAAATCGATCTAATTTGAAGTTGTTGTTGATTGGAATTGTAGTGCATGTTGTTTTGTAAAGTACCATAACAAGTTATTCTATGTTATTACAGCGGAACCTGGAGAAGAGGAGGAACACAATGGTAAGTAGTCCTAATTGTATTGAACTGATGTTTAGATAATCATTTGCAATACTGACATCAAATAATGTTGAAGGACCCATGAGTATGTCTTACGAAGATCAAATCGTTTCATACTCTTCTGATAATATCCTGATAAATGTGCTGTCGTATGAAAATCTGCCAATCAAAAAACCATACAAGGTAATTAGATGTGCTTCATTCAGACTTTCTAATAGGTAATAAATGTACATAACGGAATTGGGAATTCTGAAAATGTGATGAATTTTGAAGAAAGTGAAAGAATCAGCAAATAGGAAAAAGAAAGAGGAAAAATGAGGTATTCCTTTCGACCACATCAAAATTGATAGAAATAGAAACATTATTTGGTACTTTGTTTAAAGTAAGAATTCAGTTCTTTGCACTTCATTGTTTAAAGTAAGAATTCAGTTCACTGCACTTCATTGTTTAAAGTAAGAGTTCAGTTCGCTGCACTTCATGGTTTGAAGTAGAAAATTCAGTTCACTCTACTTCATTGTTTAAAGTAAGAATTCAGTTCACTGCACTTCATTGTTTAAAATAAGAATTCAGTTCACTGCACTTCATTGTTTAAAGTAAGAATTCAGTTTACTGTACTACATTGTTTAAAGTAAGAATTCAGTTCACTGTACTACATTGTTTAAAGTAAGAATTCAGTTCGCTGCACTTCATAGTTTGAAGTAGAAAATTCAGTTCACTGAACTTCATTGTTAAAGTAAGAGTTCAGTTCACTCTACTTCATTGTTTAAATTAAGAATTCAGTTAATTATACGTCATTGTTTAAAGTGAATTCATTGTTTAAAGTAAGATTTCAGTACGATTTCTGTTTACTTTACCTCGTTGTTTAATTGAAGTATAAAGTCAGTTCACTATATATACCTCGTTGTTTAAAGTAAGAATTTAGTTCACTGTACTTTGTTGTATATACAGAACCATGCGAGGACATGTCAAAGTACGCCCAGATGCGCCACAACGGTCGTCTCGCGTGTGACATCTGGCGAGAGACAAATCAGTGCAACACCAATCCATTCATGAAGACAGCATGCAAGAAAACTTGTGGATTTTGCTAAAAGGAACACGCTAGCCGGTGTCAACATTCTATTTACCTTCTGTTTGAATTAAAGAGCGCGTTGATAACCAAAATAAACATATTTCGGTAATGACGCTCATCCAGAAATGAATTCTGTTGAGTCTTTTCTTTCAATTCACACGTGATGTTTATCATTTGCTTTTAGTACACATCATATTTGACCGTTTTTATGATGAGTTCAAAGGTTGATCTGCATGTTAACATTTGGCGTTACAAACTCGAGTTGTCTCCCCTGAGCTGGTGGGTGAATTGATCCTACAGTATTCACATTAAAAAGCAAAGACAGTTTTTTTGTTAATTATTTATTTGATAACATGTTCCAGTTAATGAAAATAGAATATATTAAAAAAACAACTCATGGGACTACACTGTATTCAATCGAGCATAAAATTATGTGGGACGCTAAATCCTGTCCACTGGTATAAACAACAAGATCACAGTTTGAAAAAAAATGTAAGGAAGGTATATTCTTCCATTGCAAATAAATAATGGTGAATATGATGTTATATATAAATACTATTGAGCGACTAGGAGATATGTCAGTGAAATCGTTTGCTATTATGTTGACCCTTACTAGAAATCACTTACATTTTTCAAGGTATGATGACGAATGTCCGTGATTACCAATGCTTATGGAAATCGTCATAATTATACAACAGGACGAGAATAATAATATTCATATTAATATTCGCCCCCAACTTTGGTTCTTGTTATTTTCATTCTTCATAACCAGGTAATATATGTAAACAAATGTAAACAACAACTGAAGGTAAAACGTGTTCAAAATTGGACAAAATGGGCCTCCTTGTAGAATACTAAAAATGGGGGCTATCCTGACAAAATGGGCCTCCTTGTAGAATACTAATAATGGTGGGTATCCTGACAAAATGGGCCTCCTGGTAGAATACTAATAATGGTGGGTATCATGACAAAATGGGCCTCCTTGAAGAATACTAATAATGGGGGGTATCCTGACAAAATGGGCCTCCTTGTAGTATACTAATAATGGGGGGAATCCTGACAAAATGGGCCTCCTGGTAGAATACTAATAATGGTGGTTATCCTGACAAAATGGGCCTCCTGGTAGAATACTAATAATGGTGCGTATCATGACAAAATGGGCCTCCTTGAAGGATACTAATAATGGGGGGTATCCTGACAAAATGGGCCTCCTTGTAGAATACTAATAATGGGGGGATCCTGACAAAATGGGCCTCCTTGTAGAATACTTATAATGGGGGTATCCTGACAAAATGGGCCTCCTTGTAGAATACTAATAATGGGGGGAATCCTGACAAAATGACAATAAACTTTTACCGTTTTTTTCATATTAAATGCATAATGTTAGCGTGTATGTAAATATTTGCATTGACATTTCAAAGTAAAACAAAAGCAAGATTTAAAGTAAAGGGAAACATCATAGGTATCGTAGAAAATCTATAATACGGTAAATACAAAGTTGAAAATTTCATTTTTAATTCAACAGAATAGTTTTCTATTTTGTTATATAATATAAATATATCACATTACAAGTATATATTCTGATGCAAGCAACAGAAATTCATTAGCTGTATCTAATGCCACTCATTAACAAAAATGATTATAACACCATTACGATAAATAATGTGTTATCAACTCATATTCTTGCCTGAATGTCCTCGTGAGCGGTGGCCGAGAAAGATGCTAGATTTTTTTTAATTCTTTTTTTTATAAAATTCAAATAAATATTACATTTATTAAAATTAAAATTAATTGTATATTTCAATTAAACACAAAATTTATATCACATTTCCTGTCAGGGTGACTCTACCTTTTAATGACATGCAAATGTCATCATTGGAAAAAGATTGTCCAATGCAGAAACATATTTCATTAATAGTTGAAAATGTTCTGAATGCCAGCATACATTGTATATAAATATATGAAAATAAATAATATGATATTGACTAGATTGAATTCTGATGGGACACCGTCTGATTGAGATGTCGGACAACCACAGCTTAGTTCATGGTTCCAAACAGCTTGATGGCACCTTCATGTAATCTGGAAAGAAACGAAGATGCATATTAGAATGAAAACGTCAGTTTTTTCAGTAGAATTCGGTAACACATCCTATTAACGTATTTGATATGTGCTAAATCTGAAAATTGAAGTTACCAAGCCGAAATTTTAAGTTTATGGTCAAACTGACAAAACGAAATGGCGACCATAATTTTCATATTCTTCTTATAGTAAAGGATTATTGTTGAGCATATTGTGATAAATGTCGCTGGTTTCTCGTTGGAAACAAATTCAAAGTTGTGATTTGACTGTATTGCATTGCTTAACTTATTTTAAAATGCATTGTATAACAATATTCCGTTTAAATTGCCAGTGTATGTTAAAACAAGATGGCTGCCAAAGAGTTCACTAAGTTCACAATGTGACCTAGACTATATAGATAGTGCAACAAACGACTGCAGTCATAAACGAATGACTAAATTTTCCTTTAGAATTTCTCGTTATCATTTTTTTTCCAATTAGAGAATGATATAATTGAATAAAAAGTCATGATAACGTTTCTTCCTATCGCTGATACGAAGAAGTAGCAAAAACATAGGGTAATTCCTGAGGATAGCAAAGGTCGAAAGATTCTTACCTGACATCAAATGACTGTGACGTCAACAGTGTGTGTTCCCCATCATGGTTGATATAGTGTTTACGTGTTGATCCGTGAGAACGCTGTAGACAAACCTTGAACCCTGACCCTTGTATGGTCTTCACAAAGTCGTAATCAAACTGTAAAAAAAAGCGCTGATATGTTATCAAATATTTTATAAAGCTCATCGCCGTTCAAATAGTGAAGTATAACGTAGTGAAGCTGTTATCAAGTTTGTATCAAAATAGGTCGTAAAGGACCATTTATAGTGTAAAACACAAATATGTAAACTCGCAAATATAAATAAACACTTACACATCCAGTTTGACGACTGTTGACTTTGAGAAGATGTCGGAGGTGGTCTACAAAGCTACACTTATGAACAGCATGCAGTGACAGAGAGCTGTCCCAAAAGGTAGGCTTCATCTTCCGCGGGCCGTTAACGAGTGTTGGTACCCACATGTCCAGACTGTACATTGGACCGGAGAGACGACCTATGCGGACACACATTGGATTATAAACACGTTTCATCATAAACATGTTCGTTGATTACAAGACAAAAATTTAGAAATCGTTTCCGAGATAGATCTACTTGTAGTGCACTCAATATGATCTAATTACTATCTTTGCTACTTACACAGGAACAGATGTTAATAAAGACTTAGATGAGGGAGGTGTTAACCTTCTCTTCTTCTGACTTTGTTTATTTGTAATAGATACATAGTTGATATTTTGTTGACGCATATCGTTATATACACAATAACAACTACAACATAATTTAAAGAAATTCGTTCGGTTATGTATATTAATATATTGGTAATATTTATGCTACTCACTGTTCGGCCCGATTGTGTCCTCTATCACTGAAGTTGTTGCACCCTGCCGTGAGGTAACCTCTAGATCAATTGTCCTGCGTTGGAAGAATGCCTTGAGGGGAGCTACTGTCGGTAATAAACATGACAAAACTAGTTCGGGAAAACTTAACATGATGGCAATTTCTATCTACATTTCATTGCTAATATTTTTCTTTACATTTAGAGCGTTGGGAGGAATCTTCCACCTTAAAACAGTTTCGAAGAATTTGTTTAACTGAGATAGATAAATAAATAAATAAACATCCACATACCAGAGTGTCTTGTCGGTCCAAGCCATCTCATCTTCTCGCAATCTCTCACCATTTCACCACACAGTCCGAATCCAAGAACAAGACCGGCGAACACTGTCAGCTTCCGGTTCTCGTATAGCCCCGCCACATTGGATCGAGACGTTTTCCCTTGAAAATTCAAACGAGGAAATCATGACCATATGCCTACCTTAAGAAAATACACTCCACTAAATAAAAAAAAACCCGAAGAAACCATAATTGTATGAATATTTGAACAATGATAACGGCTTCCAAATGTCAAGTTTATATGCAAAACATAACCATTATTAAAGTTGTATAGAAATGTATAGGTAGTCTTCACCTTTGATAATGTGTAGAACAGCTGTTTCGATGTCTTTGTTGCCATGGAGAAACTCAACAAGCACGTTTCCTGTTCCTGCAGGAATAATGCCAACTGGAATGTCACTCATTGTGGGTGTGGCCGTATCCAACTCTATCTCGCTGTTTTGATGTTGTTTTCGGAGTAAGGCGTCCATACATTCACTGTAGAGCCCATCACCCCCTACTGTCACAATGCTACAAATTATACAATTACTTCAGTTTTTAAATTTGTATAAAGATGTGAACTAAAATAAATAAAACGAAATATAACTAAATTAATAAAATGAATAAAATTACCTACACAGTTCAAACGCCTCTGATTACAACACGTCGTTGTATATGAATTATAAACCTCCAGTATGTTTACGTTTTAAAGATAGTTCTTTACTTGTATGTAAAATATACAAAACAGCTTACCCGTCTATTGACGAAAGATCATATTTCTCCAATACAGACGAAATATGGCGGCGCCGTTTGGTGACTGAAATTCAAAGAAGCTAGACATTATTTTGTTTATCACCATAAAATGCTAAACGAGAATATCAAAACACACATTTAATGCTTTAAATTGATGACATAAGGAGATAAACATCAAGCGAACTTTCTAAATACACAAATACTTTTACTTAAAAACGTGTCAAATATCCAGAGCGTTAATACTGCATGATAAACAAATATATGTCGATAGGCTGAATTCCGGAGGTTCTGACATTTCATGTAATTTTGCATTTTAAATATGATATAACCTTGAACATAAATGTAATGTTATTAATGTGAATATGTCACTCACCAACAACATCCACATCAATACCGCAAATTCGAAACAGCGGCGATAGCTGTTTCCGGTAGACGGTCGTGCCCTTCTTCCTTCCGCTGATGGGATTGATGAATACAAGGAGACGCCTAGGTTTCGATGAACCTATTTAAATGCAAATTGGAAGTTATAGCGACGGACATGCTATATAGGATACTGACTTTTAATTAAATGCTTGGATGTTTTACAGGACAAACCAATATATAATTTTGGTCATTACTATTATTGAATGTGGTTGAGAGAAGCAGATGTTTGTTGAGCTAACTACTTCCCACGACAGTAGCCCAATAACAATAATTCATACAATAGTCTAAAAAAAAACTGTCACTAGAAACTCTGGTCAACCAGTGATTGGCTATACAATAATTACACAAGACTGATATTTAGAGGATCTGGCATAAGTTTCCCTTCATGTTAGATTTATGATACACGTTTTGGATTTTTTCATGTTTGCAATCCTCTTGCAATTGGATGTATACTTACATTGTATGACCTTTTGAGAGATATAACAAATGGATTTGGGCTTATAAAGGTTGGAGTTGTTAAAAAGGTAAGCAAACATGTGTTTTTAGATTCATAATACTAACTTTTAAAGAGGGTTACTTTGTTTCTCAAGAGTGAATTATAAATTATTCATACTTCAATCTTAAACGAAATAACAAATGTGTAAGATGAATGCAGTCATAGTACATTTTCTTCATGGGAGTGACGAATATGTAAATGGGTTCATGACACTGACAACTTTACATTTAAAACAAAACAAAACAAAGATTAAAAGTAATAACAAAACATGTTTTAAATATCACATGCGCCCTTGTATTGCAACTATAACCCCGTTTATTCGAATACAAGAAGGTCGCAAAAAAAGAAACTTGAATACTACAATAATGACGATAAACGGTTTTGTCAATGTACGCCTGCAATTTTCAATGATTTTTTTCTTCTATTCCACCTAGCTGCGATGTTTTTATATCGTTTAACTCATTATTTTGATAAAAAAAGACTTTGAGCACTTTGACTATATGACGTCAAATTCAGGAGTAATGAACGTAGATGCCCCCTACAGGAATTTGAGAACATTAGATTAACCAAACCGAAAGTGTGGCAAGTACGTATGCGTATCAGTCTTTAGAGATACGAGTTTGGCACAGATTTGATATCAATCTTCATTAGTTATATTAAATTCTAGACGTTTTTGTTTCCTCTTTTACTCACTATTTATTCCTTTAAATCACTGATGTTAATGTAATCTAATATTCGACTACAATCTTTATGATATAATACATACCGTTAATAATGAGGTTTATTTTTGTCAGAAAGGACACAGCCTCAGAATGGCCCATCGACAACACGACAGAATTCATCCTCATCACTCTTTGGGGAAAGTGTTCAACATAGAACATTCTGTACGTTATCAAATCTACAACGTCACTTCCGGTTTGTAATGGTTGTACAGCTAGGAGATCATCTGTGCATATTGATGTGACTGAAATGAACAAAATAAACCACATTGTTAAGGTGTTTTTTTCACTTACCTGTCAGAATGTTACACAGGTGTAAAATTCAGTGATAGCTAACATGGGAATAGATAATACAAAAGTAGAGCGATATATTTACCAAATTCATCGGCATACTTATACATTGTAACTCATTTTATCATATGACTTGCACAACATATGATATCAAGTCAAGCATAGACAAATAATACGTCATAGTCGTGCTGATCACGCTGACAGAAGCGTGTTACGCTGTATAGTTTTGAATTAGATCCATAACAAAGTTAGCTGTATAGAAAATATGCATATTTTAAAACATGCCTTTGGTAGGATGACATTTTATCAAATATGGAGATTCTTTGTGAAATATCTTTTTAAAATTTTATTTATTTTATGAATATCAATTGATATCAAAATTGTACTTAACAAAGAGTCAATCCTAAACTACCCTCTCCTACATTCCAGGTTTAATAAAAACATCTGTAAATGAATGTTAAATCTAACCTACCGCGATCTCTTTCAATTCTTGTCATTGCTAAATCAGATTTTAAACATAACAGGGTGTATTCAATTTTCTAAACCAGACTTCAAGGACATGTATAATCACTGAAAACATTTGTTTTGCGTCTGGTGAAATATCCATTGCATAATACTAGCAGACACAATTATTATGTTGACATATAGAATGTCGTATTTAACGTGTGCAAGGTCTAGTGTTCTGATACGTTTAAATGAAAAAAGGAAGACTTATGCATTCAATATTATTTTGCAATAATTGCTGAAATGACACTTCCAATATAGATCTGAATATATTTTCTTTTAAAGCACACGGACAGTAAACCATGACCTATATATGACAATCCATATCGTGACATATTTAAACTACGTAGTGACAAATCGGTCTTTATTGATTGCTTCACCTGTGAACTGATCTCCTTCCAAGGTATACAAATCTGTGAGCGAACATATTTCCAGCCCTATTACTTACTATATATGGGTCACACGATTATATAAGTATATTTGCTTCCATATGAGATGAAGGTCTAATAGTTTTATTTGTTCACCAATAAACTGAAATAGCAGTCTTAGACAGGTGGCTTGTAATACAAAGGGGAAATGCTTAATAAGCGGACCTTGTGTAGTCAGGAGATCTCCAAGGCAGAAGTAGATACATATATTTATTTTTGTATCAAATACTAGACATAATATTTCCTCACATGACCTGTTAATTAACTTCACGTCTTCAAAAGAACAGTGACGTCACCTTGCGTCCTCTCAGGACAAGTAAAATCACATCATGCCCTCGCATGACTATCAAGGTCCCCTCACACCATCACTGGACATATAAGTCCCCTCACTCCAATGCAGGACTAGCAAAGTCCCCTCATGCCCTCACAGGACAAATAACCTCCCTCACGCCCTCACAGGTCTAACAGAGTCCACTCACGCCCTCACAGGTCTAACAGAGTCCACTCACGCCCTCACAGGTCTAACAAAGTCTCCTTACGTCCTTCGAAAGACGTCTCTTCACGCCCTCACAGGACAAAGACGTTCCATCACACCCTTACCCAACTCATGACATTCCCTCGCGCCCTCACAGTATGAAGAAGTCCCCTCACATCTCACACTCACAGATTTATGATGTTCCCTAACGCCCTTACAGGAATACAGAAATAACTTGACGCCCAAGAAGACCAGTAGAATCACCTGACGTCATTGCAAGAAATACAAAAAGCACATTTCGTTATTGCAAGACTAAATAGGTCAACTCACACCAAAACAGTAATAAAGCAATGTGGATGTTCCATTTGTCTACATGTGTGGTCATATTAGCATCGCTATTCTATAATCCGTGAAATTAAAGAAAATTAAAATAAAGAGTTTGATTGGCTTACGATAAGTTTATTTGTCCAAACCTGTCTCGCTCAAAGAACGAAAACCAATGTAATGGTCTAACGATGCATGTATGCATGTTATCAACTCAAAGCTTTTTAGATTTTATAAACACGAATGTTTCCTTTAACTTTAGAATATCTTTTTTCAAATAGAAAGCCTGGTTTGCTTGTATTTGTTAATGGCCCCGATGTATACTCTGTTTACATTCAATAGCCATTATTCGTACACTTGTATCAACACTAACGGTCTAGCCAGGAAATAGTTATGGTCGAAACGGTTATTGTTATATAGAATAGCGTGTAATTGACAAGTTTGTTCCGAACTGCAAACATTTGCACAATACATTAGCAAAATTTAAATATAAACGAGCAGACATTACCCATGGGAATAGTACAACATTCACTAGAAACTATCTTTGTTTCCATTTTTGTAACTTTCTCAATAGAAAGTTTACTCTGTATAAGAGTGATTTTGCTGTTAATTAAAAGCTTTTTTTTTTAAACATATATGAAACACAAGTCATATCAAATAAAAATTTGAAAAACAAAATGTAGCAACTTTTCTTTTCTGTAAATTGACCGGCGATAAATACTGTTTGAATTCAACACAACGTGCTGTGGGACTGTAATTCTATACAGAGGCTTCACGACTGGTGATATTATGACTTACCTTCAGAGTTTTTTGTCTGCGAGACACGGGCCCACATTAAAACTGTCTCTGTCAGTGTAACATCCACGAGAACAGATTTTTGGTTTTGTCTTCCTGATAAATTCATCCTGTAAGTGACTTTATCCATATTTCTTTCCAAACTGTTCGGAAACATTCCAGATACTGGTTTCCACTGTAAGCATATATTCCCCCACCATACAAGTTTAATGCCTTGATTTACAGTGAAATAATCTCTATCCTGCTTTTTCTGCGTAACAATAGTGTATGCAATGTTCTATACGAAAAAGTGCTACTACGCTAGCTGGTTGCCTTATGCTCGACACGGTGCCAAGCTGATACCGTAATAACGTGTTCACTGTATGTAAACAATCCACCCTGTCCTATCGCTGTCTGCTGTATACCTATACCCGTCTTCTCAGCCGTTTATATATACACACAGGCTAGCGAGGAGTTCCTGTTTCGTGCATACCACCAGGTGAAATCATCAGTTATCTGAGGTCAGAATCAGGTACAGAAACAGAGCACGTAAGACAGACAGGCGTCACGCACACTAAGTAGACTAGCGATTATGTTTATTAATAATTTAAGGAAATATCGGTGTCCGGACGATTGACCAGAAACACGCGTTGGTTACGCACTAAGATAATGCTATCTGTGACCAGTGATGGTATTATCCAAATTGGTCTTTACCTGTAAATGAAAATATATAATACCGCTTTATTGTTATTTTTATGCATGCAAATATTCATGGGTATGTGATGCAGGATGCTATTTAGTCAATCCTTACAAAAGGTTAAGTTGTCAGGCTGTAATACTCTGCTTAAATGAAATGACACTCGAAAACTCTCTCGAAACATTGGATTCATGTGAGGCCATGCTATCGTGAATTCACTAAATATTTATGATGTTAGAATATCCACAATCTCTGTTCGACTGAAGTCATACTAAACTGCCGTTTAATAGACAGTAGAAATAATGACACGAAAGTAAAACCAAAACCCGTTTTAAGCTCCTTTTGAAGATGGCACACCCTCGTTACAAGCAATGGTTCATATATCTAATCAACAGGGCTCTTCTTTCGCGTCATCTGTCTGTGAACGTTAGAATAGATAAATGGCATATATGGTACCATTAGACATTTGCAAGATTTCTTTTGTTATTATCAACGATACGTGTCTGTATTGTTGTGTGTTACTCCTATCAATTGAAATTAGACCTCACAAAAGGTACAGAGATTCTTTTTTTCTTTTCTTTTTTTTTGTAATGGTTTTATTTTTCCAAGTTTTTCATTACATATACATTAACAGGACATTCACGCATTATCACATATACACACACGGACATGGATTTAGCATTATCAGAGGTACAGAGATTCTTTACATTGAGCAATAGAAAGGCAATGAATGAAATGACCCTTTAAATTGAAGAGCATACTATTTAAAAACGTTTTAATATCCTTTTTTTATGTTCCCCTAGTATTTGTGATAAATTTATGCAAAACGATAGTTTAATGTACGCTTAAGAATAGATATTTACAAGAATGAAAATGCATTTATGGTTGCAGTCATTACAATACATATGTATATTTTGCCGATGCATAATGCCTATCTAATATTTTTTTTTTTTTTAAATACGGACAGATAAAATAAAAACTGTTTGAATGGAAATAATAAGTAATTCATGGTGGGTTTTTTCATTTTAAGGTTTTGCAAGTGTCAATCGATATAGAACCAGCAGTGCTTGGCGAGGACATTGCAATGCCATACATTGTATTTACTAGGGCATTGTGTAACAAACATTCCTAAGCTTATGACAATAATCATTCAGCAACGAATTTCTTTAGCTTAACAAGTACAAAGCCATTTTATGTAATACCAAATATGTATTTTCGTTGTTAAAGTCTGCATTTGAAAATGGAAGAGCAAGTTTGCGGGTATATTGTAAATAGTTGAATATACATGATATTGACAGTTTTCCCAAATATGGACATACATATTTGTCATTTGCATTAATTTGCACTCCGTCAGTTTGAACGGGCTCGTTGAAGATAACGCCTGACTTTTTTCACGCCGAAACATGTAAGGGAACAAAACAATAATGTTTCTGGATTTCAATGCCTCCTCATACACTAGGCAAAAAGCATGGACCTGTTGACAGCAGCAAATGACGTCACCAAATATGCTGTATGACAAAAGCAATTAATCAAATTCCTTTCTACTTAAGACGTGAATATTAATATCATTTTTTTTGTATTTTGCATTTAATCTGATTTAGAAATATGTCGTTCTAGTTGTTTTATACCTTTAAAGGAAGGCTGTTGTTGTAACGATGAATGGAAGTGTTCAGTAGCTTGGCACCTCGTTTAACAAGGTGATATATGTATGTTTTAGTAATGCTGTCTCATAAGAAGGGAATTCATACCGGTCTTTATGGCTGATAGTGTCAGCTTCCACGAAGGGAGTCTGGTATCGAGTTACATTCATTAAACCAATCTTTATGTTGGACACAACCCAGGTGACAGGTACACCATGTCACACGGAAAATTATCTCCCTTGTATTTTCTTCTGTAAGGTGGAGTCGGACTTCAAATCGGAAGGACATACCTACAGAGGCCATGTGACGTTCGCTTTGAAGAAGATCTAGCATAATTGCCAAAGAAGGTGGTGGATGATTAAGAAACATTTTTGTATCATTAATATGACCAATGACTCGGATGATTGGATCAGTATATAGGATTGTTACAGTCATCGTGTGAGGCTATTTTCTAGGACAGGAAATGACTGGAGCTAGACTTTTAAAACAGAGATCCAAATAACTGTGTTGGATTGTGATACATTGCAGATGACATATGCTTCAAACTTTTGAACATCAGAAGATAATACGTTTGTATGTATGAAACATTGGGTTATTATTTTTAAACTTTCTTTCGTGTTTTTAATCCATATTTCATTGCGTTTGTTCATTTCACGTTTATGAAACCAAATGATTTCATGAATTAGCAAGAAAAACCCCGACCTTAACTGCATATCAAATACGTTTTACACAACGAGTTGGTTGTATGCGACGATTTAGGCCAGTCTTATTTCATTAAAAACAGTACGTTTACAAGAATCAATATAAATCAACCAACGACGCAAAAAAATATAACTTGTAAACATACGTCTACTCATAGGCAAAAACTATCGTTCTAGGTATCAATATATTTGCATAAAGGATTAAAATTAACTCAATTCTTGCTTAAATATTTTCTACTACAAAATACTATTATTGTTACGAGCATTGAAATCAATTTTATCAGTAAAACTGATATATATAAAAAAAGATATATTATTGTACAACAATTATGAAGTAAATGTTCTCAACTTCTGTTAATGAAATATTGTTGGCCTGGATGGAAGCGCGCCGGAGTCTTTACATAAATTAAGTTCTACCTACCAGGTGAAAAATCCACTGGGTCGGTCAGGTTACCCTTACCTTTTCATGTTCATTAGAGGAATCGAACCCGGACCGTCTTGGTGAAAGGCGAGGACGTTATCCAGTGCTCCTTCCGACCAACTGAATAAGATATCAGTGCCTTTTCGAAAATGTGATATCAAATGAATTCGAATAAAATATATGCTGTCCCAACTAGTTGAGGATAAATATCGATCGTTATGAGAAAATTTAATCAAAAACAAAAGAAAAAAAGGCAAAATTAAGGTGTGTATGTCTACCAAGCATGAGCATTATATAAAAGAAATTTTCAAAAACAATCCCGATTTCTTACTTGCATTCCATTTAAATAATGATTTTAATATATGCAACAAACTTGGAGTATGGAGTATTGTTTTTTGTTTTGTATCTGTAATAATTTCTTTTTATTAATGAATAGCTAGCAGGTGCACGTTTAACAAATATTTCAAAACATTTTTGATTTTTCTTTTCTTTCCAAAATACAATGTTGTTGGTCCTGTGTCTCATTATTGTCGCCACATCAAAGATGAACAGAAAAAATACATCGTCAGTGTAAAAACACCAGAACAAATATATTTTAACGTCACAATAGGACAAAATATACCATAGTATAAACAATACTTAAAACCAAGCCCACACTGTTTAAATATGCTTTTGTGTTAATTCATCTTGACTAAATATACATAAGTATCAACACCATTTAAAAATATACCAAGAACCCAATTTTTAAACATTCTACTGTGTTAATTTACCAAGATAACATACTTTAGTGTCAACACGCAAGTTCAAAATATACCTTAGTGTCAACACAAAAGTTCAAAATATACCTTAGTGACAACACTCAAGGCTAAGCATACCTTAGTGTCAACATTCAAGGCTAAACATACCTTAGCGTCAACACCTAAGGCTAAACATACCATAGTGTCAACACTCAAAGCTAAACATACATTAGTGTCAACACACAAGTTCAAAATGTACCATAGTGTCAACACTCAAGTTCAAAATATACCTTAGTGTCAACACATAAGTGCAAAACATACCTTAGTGTCAACACTCAAGGGCAAAAGATATCATAGTGTCAACACTCAAGAGCAAAAGATACCATAGTGTCAACACACAGGGAAAAATGAACCAGTGTGAAAAAATTAACAATTTAATATAATACAGCGTCAACAAAATAGAAAAAACAATAGAGTATAAACACAATTACAAAATATATTGATATTAATGATTAAGAACAAGTTTTTCCACAGTGTCGACACAGGCAAAAAGTATATCATAGTGTCAACACACAAGGACAAAATATGCCAGTGCCAAGCACACAATGTCTAATCTTTAGGATTTGACAAACAAAATATACCATAGTGTCAATACAATGTGCAAATGAACCAACGTTAATACATAAGAACTAAATATACTACAGTGTCAACACACAATGATAAATAGACAATAATGTTAATGATTACGGTCAAAAGAATTCAGTGTCGAAGGTGAACGTAACATACACACACACACACATTGATTGCACCTTAAGTTATTGGTTACAGATACAGTAGCCAAAAATGCATTACACTGTATCATACAATTGGTCCTTCTAGGACTCATCGGTGGTGCTAGAGGCCAAAAGGTTAGAAACTCAAATTGTCTAAACCACTGTAAAAAGAGAGGGACAGGTGCGTGAAACTCCTTAATCATGGTTTTAAATAATTTAGGAGAGTACTGGTTCAAATAAACAATATATAAGGTGACTAATTCGAACCATGCAACTACTACAAAGATAAGTCTTCAAGGCTCAGCACACTTTGGGTACTAAATATTCCACCAGCAGAGTCTACCACCTTCTATTTTGAAAGATGAACGTAGAAAAATGGGCCAAACAAGGAAATAATTACGTTGTCAAATTGATATGAAAGCAACATAAAATGAGGAGATACCAAAACAAAAGAAGACA